AAATAAAATCTGAACTCCTTAGCTGGGAATACATGGTCATCTGTGATCTGCTCCTTGCCTTTTATCCAGTATGTTGAAGGACTAAATGAGAAAAGGCAAAACAAAAAACAAAACAACAGCAACAACAACAAACCACACTAAAGACAGAATGCACTAGTGAATTCCAGAGCAGAAGTTGAAAATTAAAGGACAGATGTTGGAGGAGAGAGTCTATGACCCTGGAAGGACACAACAGTAAACAAATTTGAGTGCAGCCTCTGGCTTGGCTCTGAGCTATGGGAGTAAGCCTGTTAGACAGCATTCCCAATTGGGTGCATTATTTTCTCCTGTATATATCTCCCCTACCAGGACTCGGAGTTTTTGCTGTTGTTTTTTCTTTTGAGATGGATTCTCGCCGGGCGCGGTGGGGGATGCCTGTAGTCCCAGCTATTCAGGAGGCTGAGGTGGGAGGATCGCTTGAGCCCAGGAGTTCTGGGCTGTAGTGCGCTATGCCCATCGGGTGTTGGCACTAAGTTCGACATCAATATGGTGACCTCTCGGGAGAGGGGGACCACCAGGTTGCCTAAGGAGGTGTGAACCAGCCCAAGTCAGAAATGGAGCAGGTCAAAAACCCCTGCTGATCAGTAGTGGGATGGCGCCTGTGAATAGCCACTGCACTCCAGCCTAGGCAACATAGCGAGACCCTGTCTCTAAAAAAATAAAAATAAAAAAAATAAGTCCGGGCGTGGTGGCTCATGCCTGTAATCCAAGCACTTTGGAGGCCAAGGCGGGCGGATCACCTGAGGTCAGGAGTTCAAGACCAGCCTGACCAACATGGTGAAACCCCGTCTTTAAAAAAAAAAAAAAAAAAAAAAAAATTTTTTTAAAAAAAAAAAAATAAAAAAAAAAAAAAAAAGAGATGGAGTCTCACTCTGTCACCCAGGCTGGAGTGCAATGGTGTGATCTTGGCTCACTGCAACCTCCACCTCTCAGGTTCAAGCAATTCTCCTGTCTCAGCCTCTAGAGTAGCTGGGATTACAGGAGCCTGCCACCACCTCTGGCTAATTTTTCTATTTTTAGTAGAGACAGGGTTTCACCATGTTGACCAGGCTCGTCTCGAATTCCTGACCTCTGGTGATCCGCCTACCTCAGGCTCCCAAAGTGCTGGTATTACAGATGTGAGCCACTGTGTGCCTGACTGAGGACTTGAAGTGTTTTGTTTTGTTGAGACGGAGTCTTGCTCTGTTGCTAGACTGGAGTGCAGTGGCATGATCTTGGCTCACTGCAACCTCCACCTCCTGGGTTCAAGAGATTCTCCTGCCTCAGCCTCCCAAATAGTTGGAATTACAGGCATGTGCCACCACGCTCAGCTAATTTTCGTATTTTTAGTAAAGACAGGGTTTCACCATGTTGGCTTCAATCTTCTGACCTCTTGATATGCCCGCCTTGGCCTCCCAAAGTGCTGGGATTACAGGCGTGAGCCACCGCGCTTGGCCAGGACTCAAACGTTTTATGGTCATTTCTGACTACCCCTTTCCCCATATTCCTATCACATTGGCCAGTCAAGCCCACCCTTTCACAGTCTCGCTATTCCCTGCTTACGCCTCATTCCTGCTGCCTTGGGAATCTAATCCTCCCTGGCTCATATTTACAGTACTGGATCTGATCCCACGTGGCAGCTCATTCAACAGCCTGGCCCTGTGCTAGATGCTGGAGATACACACGTGAATGACGCAAGACCTCCAGCCTGACCTCCCTGTCTTTGCCAGGCCAATCTTGCCTCCTTTTAGCAAGTTAGTCTCCTGCTCAGGGACCTCTAAAGGCACCCCGATGCCTACCCAATCAATTCTAAATTCATACTTTGCTGCCTTTTAATCACGCAACAAGTATTACTAAAGGCTTACTGTGTGCCACGCACTAAGTATAAAGCAGTGGTCAAAACAGGCAAGAGCCCTGCCTTCAAGGAACTTACTATGTAGTGTGGAAGACAGACATAAAAGGCATAATCACGATAATAGTAATAAAAATAAAATAATTATATAATTATTATTCTTTAATATTTGTGAATAATATGAATGTCAAGAGGTGCCACAAGAATGTATAAGCAAGAGATCTAATCTAATCTAAACCAAAAAGCAAAATAAGGCCAAAGATCTGAGTAGGAGTCCAGGTTTAGGTGTGTGTTGAGGGTACAGGTACCCTCAGGAAAAGGGAACAGCTCATTCAGAAGTCATTTAGTCACACAGCACTCGAGTCATCACCAAATCTCTGGGTCTCAGGTAACTCAAATAGTGATTCTGCTCCAGATGACCATTTTACACCAACCAAGAGCCAAATTGCAAGCTCTTATAACTCAGTAATAAAAAGATAAATAACCCAATTAAAAATGGGCAAAGTATCAGAATATTCATTTCTCCAAAGATCTGCAAATCATTAATAAACAAGGGAAAATATTATTATTGCTAAAGAAATGCAAATCAAAACCACAATGAGGTACCACTTTACACCCACTAGAGTGGTTATAATTTTTTTTAATGCAATATAACAAGTATTGGTGAGGGTGTGGAGAAATTGGAAGCCACATACACTGCTGGTGGCAGTGTAAAATGTAAACTGAATATAGTCACTTTGGAAAACAGTTTGGCAGTTTCCCCCCTAAATTAACCATAGGGTTACTATACAATACTGCAATTCCATTCCTAGGTATATATCTAAGAGAAGTAAATTCATGTACTCATACAAAAATTTGTACATGAGGCCGGGCACAGTGGCTCACACCTATAATCCCAGCACTTTGGGAGGCCGAGGCGTCATCCAATCTTTTGGATGACGAGGTCAAAAGATTGAGACCATCCTGGTCAACATGGTGAAACTCCGTCTCTACTAAAAATACAAAAATTAGCTGGACATGGTGGCGCACTCCTATGGACCCAGCTACTCAGGAGGCTGAGGTGGGAGAATTGCTTGAACTCAGGAGGCGAAAGTTGCTGTGAGCCGAGATCGCACCATTGCACTCCAGCCTGGGTAACAAGAGCGAACTCCGTCTCAAAAAAAAAAAAAAAAATTGTACATGAATGTTCACAGCAGCATTATTCATAATAGTTAAAAAATGAAAACTATCCAAATTTCTATTAAATGATGAATGGATAAATAAAATGCGATATAATTGAATATAACTTGACAATAAAAAAGAATGAAATAGTAATACATTCTACAACGTGGACGAACCAAGAAAATGTATGCTAAGGAAGCCAGTTACAAAAGATACATATTATATGATTCCATTCATATAAAATGTTCAAAATAGGTAAATCTATTGAGCAAAAAAGATTTGTGGTTGCCTAAGGCTAGGAGGGTTGTGAGGAGCAGGGCGGATGCAAAATGACTGTTAATGAGTATTTCTTTTCTTTTCTTTTTGAGATGGAGTCTCACTCTGTTGCCCAGACTGGAGTGCAGTGGCACCATCTCGGCTCACTGCAACCTCAGCCTCCTGGGTTCAAGCGATTCTCCTGCCTCAGTCTCCCAATTAGCTGGGACTACAGGTACCCGCCAGCACGCCCAGCTAATTTTTGTATTTTTAGCAGATGGAGGTTTCACCATATTGACCAGGCTGGTCTCGAACTCCTGATCTTGTGATCCGCCCGCCTCGGCCTCCCATAGTGCTGGGATTACAGGCCTGAGCCACTGCGCCAGGCAAGTGTTTCTTTTCTTGATGTGATGAGACTACTCTGAAATTGCGACGATGGTTGCACATTTCTGGCAATAAATGCTATTTGGATTGTACACTTTAAATAAGGGAATTGCATAGATGAGTTATATCTCAATAAAGCTGTTTTTAAAAATCAGGAGTGGGAGATATTGGGCTGAGGCAAGAGGATCACTTGAGACTAGGAGGCGGAGGTTGCAATAAGCCACTGCACTCCATTCTGGACGATAGAGAGCGAGAGACCCTGCTTCAAAAAAAAAAAAAAAGAAAAGAAAACCAAAAAAGGGCCCTTTACCAGTGCCTCACCGGCCAGGTACCACCTTTTCAATGGATGAGGAGAAGTGCAGACGGCTTAAGTATCCGACACAGGGGTTGGGGGCGGTGGCTTACACCTATAATCCCAACACTTTGGGAGGCTGAGGTGGGAGGATCTCTTGAGCCCAGGAGTTCGAGACCAGCCTGGCCAATATGGCAAAACTCTATAAACAATCCAAAAAATTAGCCAGGCATGGTGGCAGGCACCTGTAATTCAGCTACGCAGGAGGCTGAGGCAGGAGAATCACTTGAACCTAGGAGGTGGAGATTGCAGTGAGTTGAGATCGCATCATTGCACTCCAGCCTGGGCGACAGAGTAAGACCCCATCTCAAAAAAAAGGAAACAAAGTAAGTATCGGACCTGGGCTCTTCTCACTATATCCTCTCACGAGGTAATGGCAGAATTAAGCTTCCCTCCTTGTGACGCCCCTGCAGTTATACATGCCTCTAGCACTTACAATCATTGTAATTGTTTAATGGTTCTCGTATATTATTTCCTAACTTCAGAAGAGAGATTGTGTCTGATTCCTGTGTATAAACATCTGACCTTTTTTAAGTGAAGACGTATTCAGGAAAGAAATATCTGCAAGTAAAGCAAAATGAAGTAAGAACCCAGTGTACCAATACTTCCCTCTCAAACAAAGGAAACGCACAAGACGAGAAACTAATAAGGCGGAGAAAGGAATGGAGACTGGGGGAAACAGAGAGCATCTCCTCCCTCCCCGCTCCCTCGACAGGTTCCCTGGAAAGTTCTAGAAGAGATTAAGGTGTGACTGGTGACATCACTGTGGCCCCGTGGCGCCCACCACAGCGGCCAACCGGCAGCCTAGCTTTCCCGCCTCACAGAGGCCGGGGAACGGGGGTGGGGCCCTGAGAGGGGCGGGGTTTCGTCATTTCCGGTGCGGGACGCGAGCCTGTTGGAGAGGAAAGGCAAAGCGAGGAGGGGCGAGGCCAAAAAAGCGCGCGTTTCTGGGCGGGGGCGGAGCCTGGCTAAGGAGCGCCGCGTCACGTCCGGTAGAGTTAGAGCCCGTGCGGAGGCGGTGCGGAGCGTTTCTGCTCTGAGCGGCTGGGCGACCGGCGTGTCGTGCGGGGCTGCGGCAGAGCCTCCTTAAAGAAGGCGCGAGAGGTTCGCAGCTTCGATTGAAGCACCTCAACCGGCGACAACAGCCAGGAGTCATGAGCGACAGCGGCGAGCAGAACTACGGCGAGCGGGTACGTAGAGCGGGTGTAGGGGGCGGCTGTGTGGTCCCAGCTCCTTCCGTCTTTTTCTAGGCCCATCGGCCTTGGGCCGGGAGGCTGCGGCGTTTTAGGTTCCGAAGTCTGAAGCTGGGAGGGCAGGCAGGGGAGCAGCGCTTAACCAAAAAAAGCCCTGTGGATAGTGCCTTAATGCCTTTGGTCGTGAAGGAGGGCGGCCACCGGCGGGTTTACGTGGCTTCTGCCCGGCACGGCCGTTTCTCCCGTTATAAGCGGGGGAAGATGAAAATGGCCGCTGCGTCCCGCGTTGTTGGGGGAGGGGAGTGGTATCTTCTTTCGCCGTTGCTCTCCTGCGAAGGTCCGCCGCAGCCATCTTGGACTGGCGGGCTGGGCGCGCTGCCAGAGGCACAAAATGGCGGAGGAGCCGCGCGGCTACTTGGGCCCGACCCGGTGCGGGCCGCGCCTAGCAAGGCCGCGTGGTGGGGTGGGAGGAGACAGACGGTATTCTTTGGGGACTTTGGCCCAGTGTTGAGGTTAACGAAGGGCCGTCTTCTTTGCCTCCCCGGAAAGGACGGAGTCTCGTATGTCCTTGGGGCTTAAGATGGAAACTAATCCGAGATCGACTAAGTTCTGGGCCCGTTAGGTGGAGGGGATTACGCGAGGGCTTTGTGTTTGGCATCAATGAAGTGCTTTTTTCTGATACCGAAGGGGCTTCCCAGGCAAAAATCCGTGTCAGTAAGCTATTAGAGCAGACCACAAAGTCGCTGAGATGATTTTGTGGCCATCGCTTTTCCCCAGAATTGTGAAGGAGAAATTGACGGGCAACAATTGACGGCGCCGTTATTTCCTTTGTTTTGAGGCGTTCTAATACTTAGAACCACAGCGTGTGTTGGGTACAATTTTCTTTCCTTTAAGTTTCCACCTCTTAAAGGTGTTCAGTGAGGGTGAGTTCTAGGGTTTAAACGACATACGTAGCTGCTCAGTGGGGTTCTGGGTATTAGATTCGCGGAGCATTGAGTGACGCGAAGATACAAGGATTGCTGAATTAGGAATCTCTTAGTAGGAAGGTAATAAAAAAGCACCACAGAATTTTTTTTTTTTTTTTTTGAGGCTGTTACGGGAGTAATTTGTGTTTTGTGTTTCGTTTAACTTGTTACCTAAGTTTTCCCGTACTGGTAGAGCCACCTTAAGATCTGAGTATGATTTATCAGGTAAATAAGATTATTAAATGTCTTAGCAAAAGTTTGTATTAATAATAGTTTAGATGATTCTTTAGTTTAGAAAGAAACTTACCTCGTGGCACTTAGTGATGAAGCGAGAGTAAGCAGTTTGGAGCCAAAACTGATTGATTTGGTGTGAACTAATCAAGCCTTGTCTTTACATATTCGGATGAGCATAGAGTTTTTAGTTTTTCATGTTTTACCTTAGGATGATTGACTCCAGTTTCACGAGTTTAGATTTTAAGTTCCTCCTTTCATGGGTGAGAAAGTAGGAATTGGGCTCAAAATTTAAGAGTGACTTTGTTGGCAGTAGAATCAACTGTTAAAACTAGTCATTGGCGTTTAGACTGCAAAGTAAGCGATTTTAAAGTCTTTCGTTATTAAACAGCAGTTGTTGGATACCTTTGTACTCTTCGAAAATACAAAATGACTGGCTTCTGACTAGGGGAACTCTAAGTTGAATACACTTGAAGAAGCTGCATATGGTGTGCTTGAGAATGGAAAATTGCCGGAAGAGTTCATTAGTATATTTTACTCGAGAACGGAAACAATTGAAGGAACTAAGTTCCAGTTTGAGACTCGGCTCAAGAGAAATTTTCGGATTGGTGGGTTTTTTTCCACTAGTAAAAGTACATTGTTTTGTTCACAATCCTTCAATTGTAGAGGGAGGTTAACTTAAATGTGTTAAAATTGAGATGTTTTTCTTACGTAAGAGTCTTGGCTTTTTGGCCGAGGTCTCTAAACATTGAAGTTGCGAAATACTTACATTGTTTTGTTTGGTGTTTGTGTTGCAATTGGAACCTTTAAGGGTTGGAATACACCTGAATCAAATTTGGAAGTCCAGGATTCCAAAGCAATGCTAGGAAAACCTTAAAGCTCGATGGAATAGTTTAATCTTAAGACATGCCTGTGGGGTAAATGCTTCTCTGGAGCGAGAAAAATGAGTTTTATTCAACTCCACGCTTCTGGACTGGCTTAATATAAATCACTGATCTCTTCAAATCAGTCGGAATTCTCCATTATTTATGTGTCTCTAATCCAGACATCCCCACCCTTCTGTGCCCCACCTTTTCTAGTAACTGTAGGAGTTTATTGTTGGGTCCCTCCCCTTTAAGGTTGGGGGTGTGGGATAAATTCCCAATTTGATCACTAACAATTCAGTATTTATTGGATGAATATAATGTCACTTAAAAACTGTTTCACTGTGTCCCTCATCCCTTATTAGTCTGTGGGATTTATTTCCCCTCCATCTCAAAGGTAATAGGTTTACACTAAATTAGTCTGTAGGGGTCTAATTAGCAGGCTTAACCGGATCTGGCCAAACCACTTAGATCGGTGGCATTTTCATCTCCAGATTAAAGCCTCTTTTCTCCCCCCCCCCCCCAAAAAAAAATTGCTTGATTTTTAAGGGGTTGACTAGCACCTTTTCTTCGCAAAAAAAAGGCACTCCTAGCAGTTAAGTCAAGAATTTGGATAAAAAGCTGATAGCAAGTTTAGAAGTGCAGGGTAATCTTTAGAGCCTTATAATCACAGTGTATAGGGTATGTGAGATTTGTATGTTGGTATTGCACTCGGTGTAACTTTCTAATCTCAACATTGTGATGAGTTTCTGCAAATGAGTCTTTACTAGAGGAATACAGAAACTAAGGAGACACTGATGTATGGACCAGGTTAAAGAAAATGTTTTGACCCAGCAAATACTCTGATAGAATACTGGCTGTTATTTTTGTAGAACCAGTACTGTTTGCAAGAATAGTCGCACATTATCTTTAGGGATAAATAGCAGCATCTGGACACCAACCCATCAAACTGCCTTTCAAATTCTGCAGTTTTTCCTCCTCTTCTGCCAAATCTTGGGATGTCTTTTTATATTCCTTGGTTTTAGCTTCTAAACCTAAATTCTGATTTTCAAAACTGAAACATCTCTCAATCTTCTTAATAAAGATTGTAGCCATCTCACCAAATTCCTTTAAAACGGGATTGAATTGTCGAATAGGAAATTGTTTTGTATTATGAGTCTAGTTAGGTCTATCAGTCTCTTGAAACCAGGTTGAAATTTTTTTTCTTGGTTTTAAACAAGAATGCTTTAATATTGTGGATATTGTCTGGAACTAGAACGTGACATTTTCAAGCTGACATTACAAGTGATTTTTATAAGGTAAGTAGTACGGGTTTTGCCAAAAAGTTGAGGAATTCAAGTGGTGGGGGGATCTGGAGTGTTAATGGCATTTGTCTTGCACAGCTTTTTTTTCTTCTTTCTCTTCAATAAAATCCCAATCCTAGGTGGTAAATATTAATGCTTTCGTAGTTATTTTGCCCAGGACAAAGGCATACAGTTGTGAATATTTCTTGAGCCTTAGCGTTTTGTTTTATGTTGATACATAAACAAAAGTGTTTTTACATATGTGATTGTTAAAGGCATGGTGACTGATGCATAGGAATTTTAAGTGTTTTGACCCAGGTTAGTATTGAGGGTGGGATATGTAAAATTAGATATGGAAATCATTTAGTATAGTTTTTAAAATGTAAGCCAAACAAGTTCTTCACTACAGCAAATTACAGTCTTGACATTCCCGAAAACCTTTGCTTTGAATTGGGTTTTGGAGGTTACTTCGAGATTGATGGTATATCAGCATGAATTGTTAAATGACAATTTGGATGAGGATCCCTTTTTTTTCTTTTATTAATTTTTGTGTTTAGAAATTAGGTTAAAAGGGAGTCTTGAAAAGTCAAAAAGTCTTGTATATTTGCTTTTGCTGGGAGGTACTGAATGTTTTATGATTGTAAACTTAAGAGTCTGTGCTATTTTTGCAAGAGTGTTTTTATAAGCTTGGGCCTATGACTAATTTCAGATGACGGTTTTGTTCCAGGCACTATTCTTCAGTGTTGTTTTTTTGTTGTTGTTGTTTTTGGTTTTTGGTTTGGTTTTTTTTTTTTTTTTTTTTTTTTTTTTTTTTTTTTTTTTTTTTTTTNTTTAAGATGGGGTCTCACCATTTTGGCCAGGTTGGTCTTGAACTCCTGACCCTCAAGTGATCCTCCCTAAGTGCTGGGATTACAGGTGTAAGTCACCTTGTCCAGCCCAATTCTCCAGTCTTTAAAGATTTTTATATCCATTCATCCTTCTGGTAGACAGTTTGGCTGCCAGAAAAAAAAAATGTAGTCATTATATTGATGAGAGCATTGACCTTAACATAACAGGATTAATGAGTTTTTATTTGCCCCATCCCTCCCAATTTTTAAAATATTGCCTTGACAGTCGACTTAATGAGTTTATGCATGTTTAATGTTAAATAGATTTCAGTTGTATCCCCTGGAATCATTTTAACAAAAATTGTGTTGCTAGGACAAGATTCTGTTTATTTCTAAGTAGGGTCTCAACTAAATGTATGTGATAACATTAGCCCAAGAGCTTGTCTTCTGATTTTATAAAGTAGCCACTTGAACTTAGCAACTGACTTGAAATAAGTCTAGTGTTTATATTAATCTGGTAGTGGTTTTGTTCTAAGACTGTAAGAGAAGGAAGCAGGTTGGGAAGGGGTGAAAAAGTAACAGCAGGAGAGTCTCCATATTGAAAACAGCTGTGATAGCTAGAAGTGTGGCCTCTATTCCAGTATCTTCTGTATCCAAGTGCCCTGTCTGTATCCAACTTTTAGAAGGCCCTAAGGAAACCTGCTTGGGCATTCTGATTCCACGATTACATTTGTGCTGCCAGAAAACATTTCCCATTGCATTTTAGTGATGGACATTTAAAGAAAACCAATGACTGTAACTCCCTAAAATAAAAAGGTATTTAAAGTATTTTGGATTAAATAAACAACGATTGACTTTAAAACTAGACTGGAAATTATGCTTTTGTTAGGAAAAACTCACAGCACTTGCCAGGCTAGCGATGGTTGTCTTTATGCCCAGACAGGTATAAAGACTTGGAGCTTTTTTTTTTTTTTTTTTAACAAAACCTTACATTTTTTTTTTGGAGGAAATAACTGACGATAAAAATATTATTAAGGTGAAATGTAGAATAAAAAACCAGAATGTTTTATAGATGCAGTATTTAGCATGTTCAACAACAGATCAGCTAAATTCAATCTTTTTAATTACTTGAGGCGGTGAGCTATAATTTTCTCTTAATAGTGCCACCTTTTAAAGTAGAATTTCTCCTTTGGACATCCAGAAGGCTTAATATTTTCTTCATTGAGGGGGAAATGTAAAACAAAATTCTTCGAAAATACCACTGTTGGATTCAAGTTTGTTCTGCTTTTCTTCATAGCTACTGGCATATTTTGTAGGTGGTTGACTTGATTTTGTCTTTTTATGACTCATACTATAAAATCTCACTAGAGCAGCTTTTCCAGGGGTGGGTTGAACACTACAGTTCCAAATTGTCAGGTTCCCTGACACTGTCTTTCTACAGAGCTCTAATACAGTACAAAAATGTGTGACGTTAAATACGTTTCTTTATACTATCTAGACAAGTCACAATACTGTAAATCCTTTCAACCCCGAGCCTTTGTCATCATACAAATGAATTGTCCGTACTTTTCCTTTCTTGCACTTAGGTATTAATATGCCACTTTTTGACTAGAGGTGTGCTTTTGACACTTATCCTATTTTCTATTTAAGAAGTGTGAAATGTAATAGTTCTTAAAATGTTAAATGAACAGTAAATGTTCACTGGCTCACTTCACAGTCAACTTAAGCATGATAAATCTATTTGGAGTAGACAAATGAGATTGATTACCATATATTCTAGAACCAGCAGAAAACTGTAGTTTCAGTTTTTTGAGCTGCATATTCTAGTTTCTTTTTTTTTTTTTTTAATCCAAATCAACAAAGGGATTTTTTTTTCTAGTTTCAGTTTTGGCACTGGATTTTATCCTGGAGTTTTAAAATATTCTTCATCCTGTTCTTTTTCTATTAAGGTTAATGTTGAAGAAGGAAAATGCGGAAGTCGTCATTTGACAAGTTTTATAAATGAGTATTTGAAGCTCAGGAATAAGTGAAGCTGAAATTTGAAAAAATAAAAGAAAGAATGCATGCTAATTATCAGACCAGAAGTCCCACTTGTAGAATATTGAGCAATTTGTGTGAAGTGGGGAAGATGAAAGAAGTCAGAATTTGAAACGGAAGAATGAAGAAAAGAAATAAAAATGAAGTTAAGATAAGAAGTAATCTGGAATCAGAAAGCACTACGCTAAGTAATTACTAGTCTGTTTATGTGTCCCTGTATATTTTGCTAAACATGCATGCATTATTTGTTTAATAGAAAATATATACAGGGTAAAGAAGTGCCTTCCAGGGGAATCGTTTAAATTAGGTAATTCTGATTTTAACTGCTTAGTGAAATGATTGAAATGCAATTTTTAAAAAATAATCTTTGTAGTCAAACACCCGGCAGCAAAGAGCTCTCCAGCATGGGTAACAATGGGCTTCTTGTTGTCCTGTAGATAAATTTTTCACCTGTCTAATGTTGCTGCTCCTGGGGCACGAGTGAATACCTTCAGGGTTGGAACTGGTCGTCTTTGCCACCTCCCTGGACTCTTAAATTGCACTGACCCCTTTCCTTCAGTACTAAGCAATGTGTAGTAAAATATTTCCTGTAAAACAGTTTTCAAAAGAAATGTCGCCAGGATGGTTGTAGAACGAAACCCCCAAAATCCAACAAACAAAGCATTGAGTAAGATATTTCCTTTTGTCATTAGTGTCAGTTTTTTTCCCCCATATAGCAGTAGTGGAATTCAAAGAGCATTTGGGCCCTAACTTTAAGAAGCATATTTGCTAAATACACAGGGATGATTTTTCAATTTCTATTTCTACTTAATGCCTATTCCAGCAGAATGACTAGAGTTATTGATAAAATACAGTCGCTTCACCTTGCAAGAGGTGGGTCACACAAGTGAACAGGTTAGCTAATTCAAAGTGCAATAGTGACAGATGCTTTCATTCCCTTTTCTTCTTTTCCGCTATCAATATTGAGCTATTGTAATGATGTTAGAGGTACAGGTTACAAAGGAGCTTTATTCTGGTTCCCCATCCCTACCACGTAATGAGAAATTCAACCTAAAAGCTCTGTCTTTTCCTTTTCTGTGTTTTGTTTTAGCTGAGTAGAAGAGTCAAGTGATAGGTGTAATGTTACTGTCAGCTGGGTGAGACAAGTACACATATATCAAAATAATACCCAGTAGTAGCCAGCCAGCAGTTTTCTACCCAATTGAGAATGCCAAGGGTATTATCTCATGCGTTTCTTCCTGAAATAAACTGTCTCTGAGAGTTGTCAGGTCTTCATGCTCTTGGAGAAAGTGACTTAGTGGCATTTCTTGGAGAATCCATTTTCTGATGCTTTTAGGCCTATTTATTTCTGTATTTTGAAAGCAGAAGAAAATTTTCTCATTTGTGAAAGGTTTTGCGTTGCTTTGTTGCTTTGCCAAATTTCTTGCTGTGTTAAACCAATGACAATATAACTGTTACTTTTATTTTCCAAAATTAAAGAGCAGGGAGGTAGCTTAGTTAAAGTGATGGGAACGAATATTACATTTTAATTGAAGCCCATGGATTCTTTTATTAAGAAACTTGACAGGTGCTTTGGGTGCAAAAGAGGAAAAGACCTCTTAACCCCCAGCCTACTGAGGGAAAGAAAGCAATTTGGAATCTGATTATGTGACACAAGCTGGATAGACTTAAGGTGAGAAAACATTGCTAGTGAACCATTGGGTCCATTTGTTTTTGTTTTCCCCCTGGCCAAAGCATCTGTGGGTCCTACTGTGTCTCTGGGCCATAGGGAAGATGAGGAGGCAAGCCTTTTCTGTTTTCTGGGAACAGGCAGTGCGGGGAAGACTGCATTAAGTTGAAGGAAGGAAGGAGATGACAACATTTCAGGAAGATACTTTTGCCAAGGGATAAAATTTGTAGGAAGCCTGTAACTTCTGAAGTTGACTGAGTCAAGTAAGTCAGACTTAACCTAGTTACCGTAAACACACTTGTTTTTAAGAGACGCAGGTGCCCAAGTCCAGACCGCCTGAAAGTAGACTCCAGTTGAGGGTTCTGTATTTGAAAATGCTATAGAGGTTTAGTGCACATCTGTGTTTGTGAGCCACTGTTTTAAATCTAATACATTACATCGAGTTTTTGAAATAATATAGGGATTGGATGGTTATCCCTTCTTTCGACTTACTGTTCTCAGAATAGGGAGATGTAGATTATTTTGTTGGAAGGCTAAGCATGTTGTGTTTTTACTTGATGTGTTCCCTGCAGGTTGTGTATTAGGATATAGTTGAGATCCAGTCTGAAGAGCTTGATTGACTCCCTGAGTATTTTATTTTCCCCCAGACAAATTTTGGCTTTATTTGATTCATGCTATTTTAGGTTCATGGTCCCTTTGAGGCAGTGGTGTCCAGTTCTTTCGCTATAGTTTTAATGTGTTGACTGTGTCAACTGTAAGAGTGGAATTTGAAGCATCCTTACATTTAGAGGCTTTCCCAGCTGGTTTTACAGATTGGCCTTGTCTGTGCCTCTTAAGGTTTAAAGTTAACATTGTGCTTTTGATTTGGGTGCTGAATTTAGGTCTTGTTTCTTGTAGACAATCTTTATTCCCTTGCATATATATTTCCCATCCAGTTAAATGGCCAAAAGAACTTCAGAAGGCTTAACTTTTGAAGAAAAATATCCCTGATAAGAAAGAAGATGGAGACGTTTAAGTGTTAGCCCAAACAAGTGTCAGTGTAGAAAATGAAGCCTTTGCATTCTGGTATTACCCTTATTCCTGGCCTAAGAAATGATTGCTTACAAAATATATCTGCTGCGTAGTCGTTAGTTTTGGAGGCTGAGTGAAAACTCCTTTGATTTCACAAGTATTATATCTTTGATCTGTGATCTGCCAGGATTCAGTGAGAAAACGTCATGAAGTCTTACTTTCTAGACTAGGAGTACTATCTCTTCCCTCAGTGGACAGGCTGGTAAAACAGCTTAGCTTACAATAAAGGTTCTTCTGTTAAAGCCAGGGGCTTGAAGAGGGTCTTGACTTGACCCATTCTTCCATTATACTCAGATTCCTGGGCTGACTGGTTTCTGTTAACCATTACTGTGAAGCACCCATGTTCTGCTTTCACTTCCTGAGAAAATCGTTTCATTTCCATTGGGGTAATCTTTCTAGTGTTGGAATCAAACAGGCATTTAGCAACTTATGAGTTCCCCATTTCTGTCTTCTTAGTTTTTGCCTGTGGTAAAAATAGCAGAAACTACACCCTCATTTTCGAGACTTCCTCCTTTTTCCATGGAGAGAAGGGAAGTTCCTGTTCCAAATATTTGATAGGGAACCCCAAGGGATTGTCCCCAGAGCATCACTACATCCTTTAACCATTTCTTGATATTAAAGGCAATGTCCTCACTAATAAAGAAGGGCACCGTCTTTTTTCTTTTAATCTCTTGATAGTTGCTCATGGAGGGAGTTAGAGGGGAAAGGCTGTCAGGTTTCATGTCACTCCACAATGTTTTATAACGGCTTTAAAGTCATTTGAAAGTTTCTGGAGTCTCTGGGGCCTGGAGACCGCCCCTGAGCACCAAAGGACCATCCAAATTTTCTCCATTATGCTGTAAACCACAGAACTATCTTACAAAGTACTTTGAGCTGTAATAATTTAAAATAACCCTCTATCTTCTGCCCTTTCAAGAATGTCCATAATACTCTGAAAATATACCAAACAAGGAAATCTCTTGTGATTAAATTTTATCTGGAAGCTTCACCTTTGATTCATGCCCTATAGTGATTTATTGTAATACTGCTTCCTTTGTCAGAGTCTGGAGCAGAGTCTTGTCATTTCTGCTCTTTCAAGTAGAAAGGCCCACCTGATTTTTATTTTGTCTAAGTTGGATAACTTAAAGGTTGTCTTGATAACTTTACCTAGTTATCAGACTGACTAGGAGTAGGTTCTGTCCCTTTCCTCATCTAATGTTTTGGTGCCTTGGAGAACTTTTCTTTGGTTTCATTATTTAGTATACCCTTTTGTTGATAAACTTGACTATGTGTCTTTAGCTCGTTGATGAACTGGTTAACCTGTTTAGCCATTCCTTTGCCATTTTTCATTATAGATTCCCCTCTTCCCCAACCTGCCAGCCAATCCCAGTGTCGATTGGGAAAGCTACGAGTATACAATATTTACCTGAATTTTGGCTTTTGTATATAATTCTTTACTCTTGCTTCCTCAGCCCTAGATTAGGACCTCCTGATTTAGCTGCCCTGGTTTTAATGTGTATTTAAGTAACTAGGAAAGTTAGGTTAATTTCTGGTTTTTCATAAGTTTGCCCTGGCTCATCATTATTTAGCTAAAGAAATCTATGGCGGATCTCTCTGACACCCTCTCTACTCTTATTTGTGTGTAGTTAACTGTTCTGTTGTATGTAGCTCCATCTGGTTGCTTTCAGTTTCTTTAGGGGGCCTCTTACCATATTTAGATGTAATAGGGTTTTACAGGGTTTAGCCTTTGCTTTCCACTAGGTTTCTCCCTTTCTCTAGAACTTGAAACGGAGATCATTGTCTTTATCTGAATTATAAATATAATTTGAAAGATCAAGGTTAAAATCAAGCATTTTTTATGTAAATTCTATACATTTTATAGGGTTTTGTTTTATTGATTGCAACCTGATTGAAATAGGTATAAAGTATAGGTGTCATAGTTAATAAGGTTCCGTCTCACCCTAGTCTTTACGGAGTAACATTCTGAAAACACAGTCCTTGGACAGTTCCCTTAACTGCTTTGCTTTGGCACACCTTTCTGAAGGAAGTGGAGTCAAATAACCCTTATCCCTGCTCCAAAAAGGTGGAAGAAAGGACAAGTTAATTGACTTATGTTGTTTGGAGCAATGAAACTATTAACACCAGGTATACTCAGTTCCTGCCCTTACCTATATTTTCTTATCTTGGAAGGGGATTGCTGTCCCTCACCATTTATCTCACAGCAGCTTATTTGTTTTTAAAGTTGCCCAGAAAGTGTACAAATTAAACTTTTAACATCTACGTGTAGGAATCCCGTTCTGCTTCCAGAAGTGGAAGTGCTCACGGATCGGGGAAATCTGCAAGGCATACCCCTGCAAGGTCTCGCTCCAAGGAAGATTCCAGGCGTTCCAGATCAAAGTCCAGGTCCCGATCTGAATCTAGGTAAGAAAGACTGTCTTGAGATTTTCTCATTACTCTTAGCTTTGAAAGTGGTGCGTGCTTTGTAAACCAGGAAGGTAGAGAGTGTTAGATTATTTGTTGTCTTATTTAAATATTGGTACTAGAAGTGAACTTAAGTTCTGGAAGACAAGACTAAAAGTGGTTAAGAGCCTGGGCTTTTGGAGTCAGGGTCCTCTATTTTTGCTGCTTTGGGCAGATTACATAACCTTTCAGCTTTAGCTTCTTTATAAAAGGCAAATAAATAATTATTACAGTACCAGTTCTTCAGGGTTGTTGTGAGGATTTACTGAATGTAAGTAAACTGCTTATTAGTATGGCAAATATACTGTAGAACATTGGCTTTCAGTAATTGCTGTTCTTGATAAATAAGTATATGGTGTGCTTTTTTTTTTTTTTTTTTTTTAATGTTGGTCAGTGGTAGGCTATATATACATATATATACATCCTGGTTTGCCTGGGACGAAATCAGTTTATGCCTCTTGTCAGGCATAATTAACAGCACCCCTTCTCAAATGTGTCCTGGTTTAGATGACAACTTAGAGTCACTCTAGTTAGTCAAAGAGCAACTTGATTTTGTTTTTGTTTTTAACTGCTGGGGAATACTTGTGGTTTTGTTACTGTGTTAAATTAGTGGTGGGCATAATGAGAGAAAGAAAGTTAGAGAATGGTCTTCTGAGGGGGAAAGATGGGCACAAGCCGAGCTAGTAAAATGCTGTATGCTTTGATTTGCAAAAGATAAGTTTGTAAACTTATATATCTTTAATTGGAAGAAATGCTGGAGAAGAGGTTGTGGTTTTTAGAACGCTTCCTAGCAAAGTTGAAATGACTGTAAATAGAGAAAAAAGTATTGATCCTAATTAATTGGTAACCATGTTAGCATATTCTTGGATTGTTCCCGCTTTGGGAGTTTAACTTTAGAACAGAGTAATAAACTTAAAGAAGACAATATCTGTTGTCAGGTGAGTCGTAACCTTGAAGTCTTTGTCTTGCAGGTCTAGGTCCAGAAGAAGTTCCCGAAGGCATTATACCCGGTCACGGTCTCGCTCCCGCTCCCATAGACGATCGCGTAGCAGGTCTTACAGTCGAGATTATCGCAGACGACACAGCCACAGTCATTCTCCCATGTCTACTCGCAGGCGTCATGTTGGGAATCGGGTAAGATGAAAAACTGGTTTTGAAGCAATGGACTGCCTAAATTTACTTTTTCTCAAAGTTAGAGCTGATTTTGACAGTAGAGCTTTAGCAGTGAGTGTGTAAGTGAAATCCTAAGAGACTTTTTAGTGTTTTGAGAGCATCTTTTAAGTTATTTTAAGTTAATCTTCCGTGATGGGGGTCTGCATTTGGGCTACTTGTCATTTAAGCATAACATTGACACAATGGTGTAACTCCTTAGTCTACCCAAAAAAAACTTCCCACTGTAGATTACTATACTATAGTATTAGCACATTATTTCAAAGTACTGTTCTATGCTAACATTACTTGTTTTCTGGGTTGCATAAACCCAGTTAGATGTTCTCCTAACTTTCTCATTTAATTTGAAGGTAGTTTCTTTTGGGTGTTAAGGCATTCTTTATATTTCATGAAAGGTTTCAAATGAGATGGTATTTACTGTGATTTCATTGTATAATCCAAGCGATTTAGGTGAAGGGTGTGGGGGACTTCACGTTTTTATGTTCCTTTCTCTTGTTTTGAGACTCCGTCTCACTCTGTTGCCCAGGCTGGAGTGCAGTGGCACAATTTCAGCTCACTGCAACCTCCACCTCCTGGGTTCAAGCGATTCTTCTGCCTTAGCTTCCCAAATAGCTGGGATTACAGGTATCTGCCACCACGCCCAGCTATTTTTGCATTTTTGGTAGAGATGGGGTTTTACCATGTTGGCCAGGATGGTCTCCATCTCTTGACCTTGTGATCCACCCATTTCAGCCTCCCAATACAGGTATGAGCCACTGCGCCCAGCCAATGTTTTTAAAGTAGAATTTTTCCCTGGTAAATGGTTTGTGAAATGAATGGAATCTTTAGGTGAATTCATCACAGCATCTGGGATGTTAGCAACATACGGCTCACTCCTATTCTTCCCTCTTTCATCTTTTTTCCATTTTGAGACAGGGTTGGTGTCTCTTGCCCAGGTGGGAGTGCAGTGGTGCAGTCTCAGCTCACTGCATCCCCTACCTTCCAAGCTCAAGCTATCTGCCCATCTCAGCCTCCTGAGTACTTAAGGCTGCAGGGATACGTCACCATACCTAGCTACTTTTGGTATTTTTGTAGAGACATAGGGTCTCACTATGTTGCCCAGGCTAGTCTCATGCTCTTCTGAACTTCAAGCAATCCACCAGCCTTGGCCTCCCAAGTGTTGGGATTACAAGCATGAGCCACTGCAGCTGGCCAACTCTTGTTTCTTACAGCGATTGCAAGCTGTTTATGACATGTAAAATGGTTTGGTACACATCCCCTCAGCCTTACGTACGTACTAAAACAAAACGTGTGTTATGCTTCTAAAAAAATAAAATGATACATGCTTATCTTTTTGGCAGTTGAGAACTTTGATTTTATGACAAGTTTTCAAAGTTTAAAATTCACTTTTTTTTTTTTTTTAATTTCTAGGCAAATCCTGATCCTAACTGTTGTCTTGGAGTATTTGGGTTGAGCTTGTATACCACAGAAAGAGATCTAAGAGAAGTGTTCTCTAAATACGGTCCCATTGCCGATGTGTCTATTGTATATGACCAGCAGTCTAGGCGTTCAAGAGGATTTGCCTTTGTATATTTTGAAAATGTAGATGATGCCAAGGAAGTAAGTAAAAGTCAACCTGTTCTTTGTAAATCACTAGTTCTATTAACACCAAATACAAGTGACCAGTTGCTAGGATAAGAAGTCAGTAATACTTTGAACTTTTTTTCCAATCTCTTGTGGAGACCCAGATACATGCAAAATAACAGAAAAGTTCGTATGACATAGCGAAGTTGGTCCTATTACCTGCTTCATTAGTTGCCAACTACTGGGGTCAGCTATACCCCAATTTTGCCAGGGTATCTAGTTAGTGTTTACAATGAGTTTACATTCTAGAGTCAAAAATAGCCAAAATAAAGTTACGATGCAGAAGGAAAATGTTATTCCTTTTTTGCTAAGTGAATGATGACGTGTTTGGATTTTGATTGGTCCTGAGGCAGAATGTAGAAAGAGTAAAGATCTGTGAGTCTAGACCACATTTCAAGAATGGTAGCTCAAGTACCCTTCGAGTAGAAGAAAGAGGAAAAACTGACAAACCCTCTAATAGTCAGTGTTGAGATTAGGAATTGAGCTCCAGGTAAAATAACTTAATGTAGGTAGGCTTTTATGGAAATTAGAATTTTTAAAAAGTATAACTTTTTAAAGGGGTAACCTACTGGAGCAATAAAAGCCGAATGCAACTAGTTATAATTAGTGACTGTGGAATTGTGAGATTCAAAGAGACTTAAGATACACAGCTTCATTTTAAGAAAAATTGAGATGCCAAAGGTATAAGTAGGATTCACTTAAGTTCTCCCATTTCCTAATTAAATTTTGCAATAGATCACAGCTTTCAGAAAATAGCATAATTTTTATCTTTATTTCTAGTGCCAAAAACTGCCTGGGACATAAACACTAGCTTGAACATCTGAACTAGAAGATTTTTGGAATTTGAAGTATAGATTCTATTTAGGTGAAACAATGTTTCTTTAAATGTATGCGGTTAACACTTAATACATATTCTGGGAAAAGGAACTATAAGTACCTAACTATTTACAAGGCTTTACTTCAGCCTTAGCTTTTGGCTTCCAGAGAAGGGCTAAGAAAACTTTTAAGCATTGAATAATACATATGTTGAGGTTTGAGTCATTGAATCTCAGTCACAGCTATTTAACTCTGCTGTTTTAACCCAAAAGCAGCCAGATGAATGAATGGGGCCGTATTCCAATAAAAGATTATTCGTCAGCATTGGAACTTGGATTTTATGTGTTTTTTCACTTGTTGTTAAATACTGTTTTTTCCCCCTAGTTATTTAAACTCTTAGCTTATGGGTTATACAGAGACAGCCAGCTGGTCAGATTCGACGTACAGGCTGTAACTTGCCAACTGTGTACTGCTTTGGAGCTGGAAACACTGTCAGGATTGTAGTTAGGTACAATAATTACTTAAAGTTTTTATGAGTAGCTTATACAAATGAACATTTAGTGTAGGAAGAACACATTTGTAAGTTGTAGACCTTATGTTCTGGCTAACATTAAGATAAAGCACCCAACTGAAATGTTCAGTGGGACCTTACTCATAGCCACAGGATACTTAGTGGTTTTGTTGAGGATGTATATGACGATTTATTATTTCTCTTTTGAAGGCTAAAGAACGTGCCAATGGAATGGAGCTTGATGGGCGTAGGATCAGAGTTGATTTCTCTATAACAAAAAGACCACATACACCAACACCAGGAATTTACATGGGGAGACCTACCTAGTAAGTTTATTTTCAAAATAAACATAATTGGCAGTTGTTAACTGATCAAAGAAGCACTTGTATTAGTGGAAAGTCTTTATTCAGCACTTAGGTTTGTGCCGTAATCTTGACTGTCAGTTGATGAAATGTTCCTCATTAGGGCATTTTTCTCATAGAAATTTAACCACTACAGGACTACAGGTAAAACTATAAATCTTTGTCAAGTGCATTTTTAAATTTTCTTTGAAACAGTTTCCCTTTTGTTGCCCAGGCTGGAGTGCAGTGGTGTAATCTTGACTCACCACAACTCTGCCTCCTGAGTTCAAGCAATTGTCCTGCCTCAGCCTCCCAAGTAGCTGGGATTACAGGCAGGTGCCACCACACGCAGCTTTATTTTTAGTAGAGACGGGGTTTCTCCATGTTGGTCAGGCTGGTCTCGATCTCTTGACGTCAGGTGATCCACCTGCCTTGGCCTCCCAAAGTGCTGGGATTACAGGCGTGAGCCACTGCACCTGGCCAAATTTCTTTTCTTTTTTGACAAAGTCTTCTTTACCCAGGCTGGAGTGCGGTGACATGATCTCAGCTCACTGCAACCTCTGCCTCCTAGTTTCACACAATTCTCCTGCCTCAGCCTCCCCAGTAACTGGAAATACAGACACGTGTCACCACACCTGGCTACTTGTTGTATTTTTAGTAGAGACAGGGTTTCATGTATTAGCTAGGATGGTCTTGATCTTCTGACCTCACGATCCGCCCTCCTCGGCCTCCCAAAGTGCTGGGATTTACAGGCGTGAGGCACCAAGCCCAAACTAAATTGTCTTAAGTAGAGCAAAGTGATAACTGTTTTTCTTATCCTTGTAGAAGTATGTGGGATGTGCAGATTGACCTCTGGTAGGATATCTGTGCTTCCTTAACCAAAGATTTTTTTTAAAGTACATTTATATATACTGTAACAAAGGAAAGGGCAGTGCTTGTTTAATATAGGTGAGAATTTTAACAGATATAATATTCATTTTCTAGTTAATGTGTCAGAAAAGACCCATTAGTAGATACAAAAAGTCATGTCCAGAAATACAAGGGACACTTGGTATTTTTTTCTTCATAGTGGCAGCTCTCGCCGTCGGGATTACTATGACAGAGGATATGATCGGGGCTATGATGATCGGGACTACTATAGCAGATCATACAGGTAAGTTATGAAGGTCATCTTCTGAATCTCAGCTACAGTGTACAGATTAGCACTATGCTTAAGTTTTAGCCTTTGGTAAAGGCTTTGCTGTAGTACTTTGAGAAACACAGAGCAGAAGCTTAAACCAGATTTTAAAATGATGTGTCTTTCAATTCATGTGTAATTGGATTTCTGTTCCAATATTATAGAATTTAAATGGGATTTAAGTCACTTGGAATGTTAATAAAATAACGTGGGTTGGTTTTTGTTTTGTTTTGTTTTGTTTTTTTCCTTTCTTTTTTTTAATACGGGGGTTTCATCATGTTGGTCAGGCTGGTCTCGAACTCCCAACCTTAGGTGATCCGTCCAGCCACGTGTTTTCTTTTATGTGAATTGGCTGTCTTAGAGTGACAGGCCAGGCATGGTGGCTCACACCTGTAATCCCAGCTCTTGGGGAGAGGCCAAGCCGGGCAGATCGCCTGAGGTCCAGCCTGGCCATCATAGTGAACCCTGTCTACCAGAAATAAAAAATTAGCCAGGCATTACACAGGACACTGAGTTACCAGAATCACTTGAACCTGGGAGGTGGAGGTTGCAGTAAGTTGAGATTGCAGTACTATTCTACTCTGGGCAATATATCAAGACACTCTCAAAAATACAAAGCAAAATTACAGGCTAAGGCAGGGGGATCACTTGAACTGAGGGATTTGAGACCAGTTTGGGCAGCATAGGGAGACCCATCTCCACAGAAAATGAGGCAGGAAGCTGGGGAGTTTGTGGCTGCAGTGAGCCAGGTACACTCCCACTAGAGCAGCAAGGCCCTGTCTTTTAAAAAAAAAAAAAAAAAAAAAAATCAAAAAATAATTATAGCCTATGTCTTAGTTTTTATAGAAACAAATTTGCAATGGCTTATAAAAGCAAATTGCATAAGCCATTCTGGAAAGCCATCGCTTTTCAGGCAGTTTCTTGGTATGGCTGATGCATTGGTTGTACACTTAGGGGGCAGGTAAAACGGAGGCTTTTAAAAGCCCAGAAAATAATTTTAAAGACATTTTAATTAAAAGGGTAAGTGACTTTTTGTTACTGCCAAAAATTTGATACTTAAGAGGTTTGGGTAGGGAAATGTCAATCATTGTTAAAGATATCTTTGAAAACAACTTGATAAAAATGAAGTAAAGTTGGGAAATTTAGGTCCTCCCTTGCTTGTCAAAATGTGTAAGTTGACAAGTGAAATAGTGTAGTTAGCACTGAGCACAGTTGTCATTGATAACCTTGATAATGGTATTAAGACACAGATGTCTTTTTTTTGTACATTTTTTGGTAATGTTTAAGAAGTTAACAGTTGTGGATCATTGAAAGTGAGCTTTTAAGTATGTTCTTGTTCAGCATTTTATCACCCATGAAAACCCTTTTTTTCTCTTTAAAGCATCACTCTATTGAATGGTACTTAAGGTATTAATTTGACAGGCCTGTTTGATGTTTTTTTTTTTTTTTTAAATAGCACTTAGGAATGTTCTGTGTTCTAATACTACTCATTTCAGTCACCGGAGAGAGCTGTATGCCAGTTTCTAAAAAGGGTGGTGAATCACTTGATATACAAGGAGCATCTCATTCATGCTGTATGAAAGTCTTAATTTTACCAAATGAATGACATAATTTGACAAAACTGAATTCATGTTGTCCTTGTGTCTTCACAGAGGAGGAGGCGGAGGAGGAGGAGGATGGAGAGCTGCTCAAGACAGGGATCAGATTTACAGGTATTCCAGGAGAGGACTTAGCATCTGTACAACAGTAGAAAGCTTCACATAAAGATGTTTGCCTACTAATATATTTCGTAAATTATAAGTGAAATACCCAAAATCAGACTGTTGGAAGCTCATGAAAATATTCTAAATGAAACTAAATGACTGTAATGTCTTTGTCTATTTATAAAAATTGAGTTTGCAGTAGGTTATTAGTGGTACCATTTTATACCTTAATGATGTTACGGGTAGTCACTGATAAGAACTAGTTTTTTGTCATTACTTTTGATATGTTCTTGTATTACATTTTCTTTGCTTTTTGTAAGCATCTCAGGTACATTCAAGCCAGGCTTTTTTATGCAAAACTAAATCCTGAAGTGCTTGTGAAATTAGTTTTGGGTGTTCATGAGGATATTGTTGGAATTATTTAATGATATGGGACTTTCCTCTCATTTCCATCGTTTTGGAGACGGTGTTACTCTGTTGCCTAGGCTGGAGTACAGTGGAGCAATTCAGCTCACTGCAGTCTTTGCCCCCCGGGTAGCTGGGATTACAGGTTTGTACCACCATGTCCGGCTAATTTTTTTGTATTTTATAGAGACAGGTTTTCACCATGTCGCAGGCTGGTCTAAAAATTTTGGCCTCAAGTGATCCTCCTGCCTTGACCTCCCAAAGTGCTGGGATTATAGGCATGAGCCACTGCACCCAGCCAGGAATTTTCTTTTACCTCTCTTAACATACGTAAAATTTAAAAGGTAACCAGATTAAAATATAGCGGGGATTATTTGACCTGAAAGTTATTAAGAGTGCTTATTGGATATTTGGGCCTGATAATGTGCTCCATTCTCAAGACTTAAACAGACTTTGAAGGTTCATGCAGCTTTCCTCTTTCGGGAACTGATAGAGGGGCAATACATGTTGTCATAAATTTATATGTTTAGTCTAAATGTGATCTGTGGAAACTTGGACAGTCTTCCCATTTGTTTGTAGAAGACGGTCACCTTCTCCTTACTATAGCCGTGGAGGATACAGATCACGTTCCAGATCTCGATCATACTCACCTCGTAAGTTTTTATCTTAATGTGATTGTTTATATTGTAATACTATGGCTTGCTTTGACAAAATATGCCAAGTAACTTCCCTTTTGCAGATAATGGATTGGTGTCAGGTAGTTTAATGTATACTTAAAATATCCCCACACAGCCTGAATGTTTTTTGAGTTCAAGAAAGTAATGGAAACAACCGAAAGAAAAATTGGGCAGCCTCCTGAGCCAGAGTAGGCTCACAGACTCCTGTTGTTTCTAACTGAAATGGTAAATAATATATATTTACACCATTTAGTAGTTTGTCAAGAGTCCTTATAAATTTTGGGCAGCACAGAATCAGGTGAAATTTTGAAATTACTTAGCCCTTTAGCTCTCAAATTCCATATACTTCTCAGCAATTTCTGTTATCTCATTGCTATCTCATTTCTAGTGTAATACCTAGATGGAAATATGCAGACAGGGTGGGGTTGGCTGCTACATAGGAATTAGTTAATGGCAGAATATTCTAAAGTTATCAGCATTAAAGTATGCTTGATAATTAATTCACTTAATATTATACATGTTCATTCTTTTCTTCCCAGGTCGCTATTAAAGCATGAAGACTTTCTGAAACCTGCCCTAGAGCTGGGATATTGTTTGTGGACAATATTTTTTATTGTCTCTTGTTTAAAAAGTGAACAGTGCCTAGTGAAGTTAGGTGACTTTTACACCTTTTATGATGACTACTTTTGGTGGAGTTGAAATGCTGTTTTCATTCTGCATTTGTGTAGTTCGGTGCTTTGTTCAAAGTTAAGTGTTTTCAGAAAAGTATGTTTTGCATGTATTTTTTTACAGTCTAAATTTTGACTGCTGAGAAGTTTCTATTGTACAAAACTTCATTTAAAAGGTTTTTCTACTGAATCCAGGGTACTCTGAAGATTGAAGCCTGTGTAAAATGCTACCAAATGGCAAAAAGCAACAATAAACAGTTTGATTTTTACTTTTCTTTCTAACATATCAATGCTTAGCAGAACTATTCAGTTGTCAGTAGTAAATTTAAAGACAAATGGCCCGTTTTCCTCCAGTTCATGAAACATACCATACTTATACCTGCAACTAAGTGTTAAAAATTATGCTTTGTAACTCTGTACTGCTAGGATTAGAACTAAAAATCTACAATACAGCCAGTGCTTAATGCTTATATAAATGTGGATTTGTCAGCTTTTATGTAATCTGTAATATGTATAGCAGGAAATACAAAGAGTTACACAGTGTATGCCTTAAAAGGCTGTTTCTTAAAGCTGTTACAAGGGGGTGATAGTATTTCAACTAGTTATCAGCAAATGACAATACATTCCACCATAAATATACTCTTGTTCTTCTAGCTTTTAGACTATGAAAAAAACTGGGTGCTTCAAAGTACATGATGAGAGAAGGGAACACTACACCTGTGTCATGGATGAACTGAAGACTTTGCCTGTTCATTTTTTAAATATTATTTTCAGGTCCTTTGCTTACCAAAGGAGGCCCAATTTCACTCAAATGTTTTGAGAACTGTGTTTAAATAAACGCAAATGAAAAATGCTGGTGCAGCTGTTTACAAAGTGTTCTTGTTCTATTATAATTAGACTTTCTGTAGTTGAATTGCTAAGGCATTATGTTCCTTGGGCTGAGATATATCTTTGCTATTTGGAGGGTGTGGGATGAGGAGATGAATTTCTATATTCCTGGAAAATTTAGAGTGTATAACTAGATAATAGAGTGATGTGCATTTGGGGATGGAGTTACAGTAAATAACTTTGAGGGTACTTGAAATGCATGTTCTTAGTATTCGTTTGCATTTAAGTAATTTTCACGACCAATTGTAGGGATGTTGCTGTAGGTGGGTTATTTGTGTTAGTCTGCTGACTTTTATCTAATTTAGATATTTAGTATGTCCCAGGTACTTTGAGAAGCACTTCACATGTAATCTTTAGCAATGAAATGATACAGGGTAACTTCATTCAAATAGCTGTTGAGGTGGCAGCCTCAACATGGTCTGAACCTAGGTGATCTTAGCTCACAGTTACATTAATCAAGATGTCATTCTTCTTCTAATCTGGGTAGCTGTGTGATGGAAAATACCATTGATGGAGCATAGGCAGTATTGGCAGGTCTTAATTTGTAAAATTTACTTTGTAGGATATTGTTAAGTGTCTGCAACTTTCAGTAAATTAATTTTTTTTTTTTTTTTTTTTTTTTTTTTTTTTTTTTTTTTTTTTTTTTTTTTTTTTTTT